AACTATGCACTCCTGTCTGTCCAGCTTTCCCTCCATGTGGATGTTGCCCTTCTGGTGCCCCACGGCCAATTGCTCCAAGGGGTGTATCTCTACAGAGTAGGTGAGTACATCGCCCTGGGTTGGGTGTTCTACATGTAAGTCTTTCTACTGTTGGGCTGAAAGCCAATCCTTAGGAGTGAGTCCTATCCCAGGGCCATAATCTTGGGGATGATTCAGTTTTCAAAAACTTTTGAAAACTGCCTTAACTACTTGGGTATGTAAGCTAAGAGATTTCTCTCTTCCTCATACCTAACTCAACTATAACTACCTTTACCATTATCACTAGGAACAAACTAATATACATAAAAGTGCTTGACACACTACAAAATGCTAAATAAGTTTTAGAAATGGTCACCACCCATTATGAGACTGAACTCATCACCTCTAACTATACTTCCTATTTGTAATTCAGTGGTTACTGTTTTGAAGTAATACAACCTGACAGTATTTGTCAGAAACAGAGTGATGAAAAAGCAAGCTAGAAAAATTACTTAAATCAGAAATTACAAGTTCCAGAGTATGAGGGATTTCTACAGCACTGTAGGCTTGTACCTAGCAAAATAACAAGGGCTGAGGCAAGTAAACAATTACACTTATGATGAGGAAGAACCTATACAAACATGCAATGGTGATTGTAATTTTACATTAGATCCCAAATAATATGTACAACAAAAATGCTCCAATTCTTCCTACACCAAGATAATTTAAAAGATAATTACAAAGCTGACCACGCTAAGGACAGAGAGGGAGTTCTTTCTCAATTATCCTAAGAGACAGGGTGATAATCACCTTGGATTATACATCCAGTCATTTTGCTGCTTAAATACAACCTAACAGCAATGATGTGAAATGTTAAGGACGTTAAACTTCAGCATTCAAGAATGTATGTGAGTTAAGATCTCTAAAACATTTCCATTTAGCAAAAAGAAACTTGTACACAAAGATGGCCCCAAATTTGAAAGGCACATTTTAATAGGAAAAAAGGCTAAAAGGTTCACTTACATACAGGATAAAAGGAATGTGTATTTGTAATGTCAGATAAACCTTCATGAGAGGTTAAATGAAAAGGTGAAGACAAGGAGATAAATTCTTCTCGTTTAGAATGATGTGTGTATCTCAACTGGATTAAGGACCATTTGCCAAGATTCTCTACGACCACACCACTTAAGGACCAGCACAGGGAAAACTAGACTGAGTCAGTAGCAGGAGATGCAAAACAAAACCTCCTATCACTTTGACAAAAACTCAGTGTCCCAAAATTATCAGGATTTCTCTGAAGAACTTATATTACCATTACCAATCATCTTTAAACTTGCACACATGGTGTAATGAGGATATACAGTATTCCTGACAAAAAAAAAACAAGGGGTTCCTTGGATTGAATCCTGAAACAAAAAGGGTATTAACCCCCTCAAAAAAATATTAAAAACTGGTGAAATTCAAAGTAACTTTGGAGTTTATTTAGTAAGCAGTAAAGTCAGTTTCTTGAGTTTGACAAATGTACCAAAATAATGTGTTAATTAATAGTAGGGGGACCTGGATGAGGGCTATCTAGAACTCTGTACTTTCTACACAACTTTTCGTTATATCTAAAATTACTCAGTTTATTAAAAAAAAATTAATAAAGGCATTCATAAAATGAAACAGTATTCATCCTAAGTGAAAGAAGTCTTACACAAATGCATACTGTATGATTCCCTTTCTATGGAAGTTCCCAAATAGACAAAACTAAGTGTAAAGAAAATCCGAACGGTGGTTCACTTAGTGGGTGTGGGGAAAGAAGACTTACTGACGGGATGAGATTGAACTTTTTGGAGTGACAGTAATGTTCTCCTACATCTTGATAAGAGATTTGCACAGCTATATTTTTATTTCTCAAAATTCACCTAGTGATATACTTAAAATCTATGCATTTTATCGTTATGTGACTTTTA